TTGATTTCAGATTCCATTATAAGGCTGACTTTCAAACTCTCCTTAACTTTTCCATGGACAATGGAGGCATGGCCTAAAATTACCATATTTAGTCTGAAAGCAAAAGAAAACATATGAGAGAAGTTTAAAGAAAGTAGGTCCAATATTATGAGTTAAAGGTCATTAAAAACTACTGTGACTTTAATTTGTTTCTCTGTTTTGCTCTAAAACAGCTTATTACTTTCAAGCCTTTTATTTCCAATTATAGGGATCACCTGGCTCCTTCCCAACTGGGACTGAAAATTGCACAGGACTGCTGCCCCTGGGCCTTAGAGGGGGAGACCACTCTGTTACAGCAGGGAAGCCTGAGGGTGGTCCATTTATGGAAAAGAGGGTTCTTGTGTGAAAAAGCTTGAGAACCACTGTTTTAATATTTTATTTTTGTATCCTTGGGTATTACAAGACCTAGGACCACTAACAATATTTTTAAAGAACTTCAAATTAAGGTTTATTATGTTGTTTTGTCTTCTCACCTTAAATACTTAGTCCTGAAAATCTTGCAAATGTTGCAATGTTCCTCATGGAAACAGTGAAATAAAACCTTTGCTGGCAAATACTGCAAAACCCAAATCACATGAGTGATGATGGGAAGAACTTCCAAATCATGTAAGAAAAGTGTGCAGATCTACATGGGTTAGATTAGGTAAGGCAAATTAATTACATCTTAGTGAGATACATAACTGTGTGTCTTCTACAGGCACATGTAATTGGTCGCAATGCTAAAAGTGTGCGTGAATTTTTGGAGAAGAATTACACAGAAGAAGCTATAGCAACTGACAAGGAAGCTATCAAATTAGCAATAAGAGCTCTGCTAGAAGTATGTAATCCAGTAGAATACTAAAAATAATGCTTCCAGAAAAGCTTGTTGTTTTTCATTTTGTATTATTCTTTTAATAATGTTCTGTATCCTAGGTTGTGCAATCTGGTGGAAAAAACATTGAACTTGCAATAATAAGGAGAAACAAACCACTGCAGGTATGAGTTATTGATTATACAGGAATAAAAAAAAATAATAATAATTCCTATACAGAATATTTTGGCAAAAATTATTACAGTTTACACCTGTACATTTCAACGGGCTGTGTAAAATATCCCTAACATCTGCTAAAACAATGTTACATGACTTCTGTTGTGTGTCTGTATAGACTGATGATGCTATGAGTTCTATAGTAACTGCTGATAATTCATATTGTGCTTGGAAATGCTGTGTTGGACACATTCAGTGCGGGAAACAGTTCTGGGAAAGCATATAAAATCATACTTTCCTGTATTGTGTGTAGGATAAATTACATTTTTGCAATGCAGTATTTCTGGCAAATATTTCGTGACTCCAAACATTTTGTAGAAGCTGTTACTGTGGAAAAGGCAGACTCCAGGCATGAACATTTTTTAAAAAAATAAGCTTTCCAAACAGTATTTACTTTCTTTTGGAATAAACAACTCTATTCTTTTTTTTACATTACCCCTATAATCGATAAGTCTAAATAATCTCTTTGAGCAATTTTAACAGTTTGAGTTATCTAGAATTTTACTAAGATGAAATATTTAGTACTCAGTCCTAAATGACACACTATTATTAAAAAAAACCTCCCTAAGTTTCATTCTTTTTGCCTCATTTGAAAGAAGCTCAGCTCTAGAATAAACTCTTGGCAACAAAGTTAAAAAGGTTGATTTGTAAATGGTGTGTACACTCTTGGAATAAATGCATCCTCTACAAACTACATTCAGCATTACACCCTTAGCAATAATCACCATTTCCTGCAGAAACACCCACATCCTGTCAACTCTAGCTCAGTAAATCCTCTGTGTGACAATGGTGAATTGAATAATGAATTGTCAATTGAAGATAACTGGCCAGAAGTGTAGCCAAAAATTATGTATGTCCTTTTCAAAGATAGAGTGATAGGTTTATTGCTATGAAGACTTGGAGAGGTAGGGGTGATGTGAAAGGGCATCAGCTCAGCAAGACTTAGTTCCAGGCTTCAGAATAAATGAGGACACTGCCTGACCATTTGAAAGGACAGTACATGGTACTTCTTAGATCAGGGTGGCCAAACTGGCTTATAGGCCACATTCTGCACTTTTATAGTTAGGCTATGTCTAGACTATGGGGTTTCCTGGAAAAACTCTGCCACATCCAGGGAATGTGTCTGCTCTTCTGCCTTTTTTTGCAGAAGAGCAGATATGCTCTTTCGGAAGCCCTGTCTTCTTCCTCCCACGAGGAAGAAGGGCTCTTCCAAAAGAGGAGGCTTTTCCGAAATTTGGCCCAATGTAGACAGGCCAAATTTCAGAAAAGCCTCTTCCAAAACAGCTATCGGAAAAAGGTATGCAAATTGTGGAATGCAATTTGCGTACCTTTTTCTGATAAAGCTCCGTAGTATAGACATAGCCTTAGTGTGGCTCATGGAGCCCCCTCCCTTATTCTCCACTTACAAGACTGGGGAGAATCGGGGCCCTCTGCCTTGCAGTGCAGTGGTGGGTAGGAGCTTCTTCCTAGTGGGGGAAGGGGTGTCTCAGGGCTTCAGCCTTGTGGGGTGCACTCACCAGGGCTTAGTGCTTCAGCAGGTGCAAGGCTGAAGCCTTGAGACCCCTCGGTGACTTCTCATGGGGCTCAAAACCCAACCGTTGCATTTTGGTTCCCAAACTTCTGAAGGTTGTCATATGTGGCTAGGAGGGCCAGTTATTTTTGCCATCCCTGTCATAAATAAAAGTGGACCTTAGTATCCTCTCCTTCTGTTATCAGGATGGTATAGATATCGTGGGAAAACATCTCCCTCTTGTAGATGGCTTCTCCCACCTCCGTCCATGAATATGGCTTTAATTCTTATATTTGCTATTTCAAAGCTGTTGTGTAGATTTTAAACACTTGTAACCAATCTGAAAGTTTGGGTAACAACATATTTATAAAGAACTAAGGAGGTTATGAGATTAAATCTTGCCTTTAATTTCAGTTATGAGTTTGTTAGGATTTGAGTCCAACTGGAGGTCTGAATGAGTGTCCACAAAACTCATTTAAATTGCTAGTGAACAGGCCAATAAAATGAAACCCTCACACTTAATTGATACAATTGCCAGTCTGTACTGAAGAAGCCTATGTTTATGCCAGTATAGACACTAAATTACCTTCTGCAGTTGAAGTTAATGTTAGTGGACTAGCACAGATTTACAACTCTCTCACAATATTTGGTCTGAAAATTTACTTGTAAGGAAAATTATCATACCTGTCAGTCTCTTAACCTTCCAGGTTTATAAATGCAAATCTTTATAAACAAGTATCTTGACTTCAAAAACATCACAAAAGACTGGTTCTATCAATTTGTGTCTCAGGAACTTTTGAAACTTTTTTTAAACTCTTCTGGAATACATTTTGGAGCTATAACATGTAACTGAATCTATGGATTATAAAATTGTCGGTGGAATCTGTAGCATTTACACTTTATATAAATCTTTGTCCTGTGTTCCATTTCAGATGTTTAGTGCAAAGGATATTGAATCACAAGTTGTAGAAATAGAGAAGGAAAGAGAAGAATCTGAAAAGAAAAAGAAGAAAAGTATTTAAATCCCAGTTAAATGCTGATGGCTGTTTATTAAAACTTTGGAAACATTTTAATAAATACTAGACCAGAATATTTACAGTTGCTGAATACACTTGTCTCTTTCATTACTGAATTCTCTGGTTTTCTGAAACCTGCCAATTATAAATGTGCTAATGAGTTTATATTCCTAATGAGTTTATATTCACTATGGTGTGCAAACAGGCAGGTTTTGGCACCTTATCATTCCTCTGTCTGTTTATTGTTTACATACTCAACATTAAAAGGCATTGCCAAACTTCCTGTAAGCAATTATCACCAAACGATTGGCACTTCTCTGTACAAGGTATTAAAGGTTTCCAAATGTTCAATTTTTTTCTTATGTAACTTTACAACTTTGATAAGTTTGTGTTTGCATGCTATTACTGTTACATATGCATTGCAAATCAAGAATTCAATAAAGTTCTGATTTATGTTTTGACAGTTTAATTTGCTACATTTTTCAAAGCATGTTGCACTGCTGCTCTCTGGTAGATAGCAGAATACATTGAATTGCACCGCTGTTTGAATGATAGAAACACCTTTCTCCTGTTAATGGATTGTACGAGATAATGAATGGTATGTTCTTAGTACATTTGTATTATATTTAACTTTCAAAATCTTAATTGATGAAGCCTATCATTTATTGGACCAGTTTCTGTTCTCCAATTGAAGTTGGTCCAATAAAAGATGTGTACAAGGTTGATGCAGTAACAACACAGAAAGGCTATCACTTCACTAAAAATATATTTGTAGCACAGTTAAACATTTTAGTGCTTTGCACCACTTCTCAGGGATATTTTTAATTGAATTTCTCTTACTATTGCAACTTTTCAGTCGCCCAACTTCTTTCTCTCATCATTATTTTTTTCCTCTCTTCCTTTCTTTAACCCTCTCTCTCCCTTAGTTTCTCCCTCTTTAATTTACTTCCCTGTTTTACTTCAACAATCCTATTCCCTTTCTTCTTCTGCACTGTAACCCCAGCCACTGTGGTTCTCATAATCCTATGACCTTGTCACCTCACTGGGCCACTTTAGGTGCTGTATTGGCTGGTTTTCTATGGGTGCACCAAGCTTGGCAGATATACCACCAGGGAAACTTTCTTGAAAGAACAAGCTTCCCTGAGATAGATCAGTTGTCTTACCTCATGGCTAAATCAAGTTGATGCTTATTATTGGTAACTATTTTCTAGCAAACTCTTTAGAATATAGTTTTTACCATCAATTCCTGTTGTGTTTGTAGATATGTTATTGTAAATTTCTACTGTATTATGGCTGTTCTTTTATTCTGACATTTATGAAGACAATGTGCAGATTTAAGATACTGCTTGAAGTCTACCAACCTGAATGTTCAGCAGATAAGTCCACCCATACAAAAAATCAGTACAAGAGGACAGAGAAGACATAGGGGAGGTGGTATTTGTGACATCAGGTGTGAATTTAAAATATGCCTGTATGATTACTGAGGTTGTGCACAAATAGCCAATTATTCACCCAGTTACCCATTTGCATTAACAAATATCTGGGCTGTCAATCACAGTTAACGCATGCAATTAATTAATTATAATTATTCATACTTTTAATTGCATTGTTAAATTATAGAATACCAATTGAAATTGATTAAACATTATGGATTTTTTCTCCATTTTCAAATACTTATTTCAATTACAACAGAATACAAAGCATACACTGTTCACTTTATATTTGATTACAAACATTTGCACTGTAACAATGATAAATATTTTTCAATTCACCTCGTACAAGTACTATATTGCAGTCTCTTTCATGAAAGTGCAAAAAGCTAACTGGTTCTGAAAACTGGCCATTTATTTCTCCCCTTTAACCAGATATCAATCCATGAGAGGATATTCCCTCTTATTGCATGACAGCTTATTTTGCTAAAGTGCCTTTGGTGAGGGATCTTGTCAGAGGCTTTCTGGAAATCTTAAGTACACTATATCCACTGGATCCCCATTGTCCACATGCTTGTTGACTCCCCCCCCAATGGTTTTCCTTTACAGAAACTATGTTGATTTTTCCCCCAACAAATTATATTCACCTTTAAAATGGAGATATATTTATCTCATAGAGCTGGAAAGGACCTTGAGAGGTCAGTGAGTCCAGTCCCCTGCCCTTATGGCAGGACCAAGTACCATCCCTGACAGATTTCCTATAGATCCTTAAATGGCCCCCTCAAGGATTGAGCTTACAACCCTGAGTTTAGCAGGCTAATACTCAAACCACTGAGCTATCCCTCCCCCCCAAGACCTATGTGTCTTGTGGTATGGTGGGCAGGTGGGACCTAGCCACGTGCAGCAGCCCCAGATCCCAGCCTCAGCCCCAAAAGGTCCACCGGCAGTGGCACCAGAGGACCACCCGTCCCAGACTTGGCCATGCTGCAGTGGTCCCAGCTACATCGCAATTCTGGTTCTCGGTGGTCATGGCTATGTTACAGCCCCAGATTCCCCAGCTCTCAGCCATGCCATGGCTCTGGTTTCAGTGGCCCCAGTTGCCCTAGCTCCCTCAGCCACACCACAGGCCTAGCACCTGGCCACGTTCCTCATTTTAAGCACCTCCAGCCACTCTATCTCCCAACTGCACTACAGCCTTGGGTTACAGCAGTGGCCCCTGTTCTGGCCATCCTGGATCTGCCTCCCAGCCGCACCGCAGGAGCCCTGGCCTCAGCACTCTTGACCAAAATGCCTGCTGCAGCAACAGTAAGACACCCCCGAGCTGACCTGCCCCCACCAACAGTTAACCGGTTAAACAATATCATTTAAATTATTTAATTGGTTAACAGTTTTGATCAATATTTACATCCTTAAATGCAATAAGGACTTCTGCAAACTACTCCACTTAAGAAGAAACAATCCACTGCACACCTACAAAACGGGAAATGGTTGTGTAGGAAGTTTTGTGGAAAGGGATGTGGAGTCATAGTGCACCACAAGTGAAATATAAATCAATAGTGTAACACTGTTGCCAAAAAAAAAAGGCAAATATTGTTCTGGGATGCATTAGTAGGAGTGCTATAAGTGACAAGAAGTAATTCTTCTGCTTTACTCTGCACTGATTAAGCTTTAACTGAAGTATTGTGTCTAAGTTCTGGATGTCACATTTGAGGAAAGATGTGGACAAATTCGAGAAAGTCCTGAGAAGATCAACAAAAATGATGAAAGGTCTAGAAAATGTGACCTATGAGGGAAGATTGAAAAAAATTGGTTTGTTTAGTCTGGAAAAGAGATGACTGACAGGGGACATGATAACAGTTTACAAGTATCTAAAAGGTTGTTACAAGGAGAAGAGTGAAAAATTATTCTCCTTAATGTCTCATAGGACAAGAAGCAATGGGTTTAAAATATAGCAAGAGAGGGTTAGGATGGAAATTAGAAAAAACTTCCTGTCAGGATGGTTAAGCATTGGAATAAATTGCCTATGAAAGCTGTAAAATCTCTATCATTTGAGATTTTTAAGAGCAGGTTAGACAAATACTTGTCAGGGATGATGATCTAGATCAGTGTTTCTCAACCTTTTTTTTGTAAAGTACCCCTTTTTCAAAAAAAATTATAAGTACCCCCAGTACCTACAGTTTTCAGACACTTTTTTTTTCTACCATTGCAACACATTTGTTTAAACAATGTAATCGTAGCCGGGCAGTCGATGAAATTTTTGGGTGTAGAAAGTACAAAAGTAATAAAGTGCTGAAAAACTTAAAACAATAATTCAGTTTTCTCCAAATTTCAGTTGTGTTGACGTACCCCTCCAGACTTCTCTCAAGTACCACTGAGGGTACTGTACCACTGGTTGAGAAACACTGATCTAGATGGTGCTTGGTCCTGCCATGAATGCAGGGGGATTAGGTTTGGTGACCTCTCTAAGAGCCTTCAAGTTTCATGATTCTATGATTTTTTAGTGCATTTATTTTTGTACATAACTATATTTTTAAGTTCAACTTTCATAATAGAGAGATTGCACTACATTATTTGTGATCTAAAAAGCACTATTTAATTTCTTTTTACTGTACAAGATTTGCAAGCAAAAATAAGGATATAAAGTGAGCACTGTACACCTTGCATTCTGTGGTAATTAAAATCAATATACTTGAAAATTGAGAAAACACCCAAAATATTTAAATAAATGCAATTGTATTATTCTTTAACAGTGTGATTAATTGCAAGTTTTTAATCAAGTAATTATTCAGGATTCACTTTTAATCACTTGACAGCCTTAGTAAATACCTAATTTGTATTCATAGTTGTAACTCCACTTCCATTGCTTAATCTCTTCTCTCACTTGTCTCCTTTCCAGAATAAATAGAGATTTCCCTCCCCTGCCCTTTTTATATGGAATCTCAATTTCCTTACCGACTTTTACTGCTCTGCTTGCTGTGTCTTTTGGAAATTCATCCTGAAAAGCTCAAGTTCTCTGGTGTGAAGTTATGCTGCCACTTTAATGCATTCAGAATGCTGGTAAATCTAGTAATGATAATTTAATTTTTTCCATGAGAATATAATTTTAATTCAACTGGTGAAATTGATTCCTCAAATACATTTGCAATTGTTGCAATTAGGTTCATGAATAAAATTAAATCAGCAATCCTCACAATCCTCCCTCATTTGAGATGAATTTTAAGGCAAGTATTAAAAGGTTCACACAGTGACAAAGAATTGCTGTATTCAATTAAAATTATAAAATATAATTTTGTTTTAAAATGGTAATTTTGTTATCTGAATTACAATGCCTTGATTATTAATCTGAAGTAATTGTAAACATTCAGATTTCATACTCCTTACTATTCTGGTTTACTTTTGCATTTTTTTTTTTCATTTTGGGCAATGAATATTGCCTGATTAAACTTTTTACCGTAACCGGAGTTTGAAAAATTTACTCAGTACCCATATACCGAAGGATTATATGACTAGCCAAGAATAAAACCTGTTCCCCCAGCCTATGCCCTTTGCAATTTAATGGAATAATACAATTACATACTCATTAGCAGGGCTCGCTGAACTACGGCGAGTCCCGCTCGCCAGCCGCGCTGTCCGGCGATCTGTGC